GGAGGAAGAGAGCCAGGGGGTCTCGATCTCTACCTCCATGCGTCATCCCATCCCGAGGACGGTCACACAACCAGGACGCAACCGCAGGAGTGGGAAGCCAAACACAGCGCGTGTGGGCGCCGGCCCCGCCCTCTCTCCTCTCCCTCGCTCGGTGGGGCAAGAAGGCCCTCCCTTGTTCCCTCCCTTCCTCCCACCCTCATGCCTCTCCTGCTCCCTCGCAATTCAATCGATCATTCATGACCAGATATTTGCCTCATTCCCCCATCCCTTTCTCCCTCCTTCCCTCACTCCCACCCGTTCTTCTTCCTCGCTCCTCCTCCACGCACTAGGAGCGTTAAGACCTTAACGAAATGCCTCGCCCGCCCTCCTTCGGCCCCTCCCCCTGCTCCTGCCCTCTCACCTCTTGAAGGAAGTCTTGGCTACCGCGTACTCCAGACGCAATGCGGTCCCTTGCGAGGATTCCGAGACCGTCAGCTGAGAGGGAACAGGGCATGATGGGTTGGGAGGGTGATGGCGAGAGGGATGGGATGGGAGGGCACAGGGACTGAGGGAAAAAGAGACGGGGCATTGGGGGGTAAATGGCACGAAGCAGCCACTCACACCGTCGGCGAGGGAATCGACGCGGCCTCCGAAGGTAGGAAGGAGCTTGAACCAGCCTGAGGGGAGGGAGGGAGGAAGGGAGGGAAAAAGGGAGGCATGGGGCGGGCGAGGAGGCGGAGGAGCCGGGGGGCGGGCGGCTTACCGATGAGGGGGATGGTGGTGAGGGGGAAGAGGACCGTGTCGAAGGAGGAGAGGAGGGTCTGGGCCTGGGACAGGGAAGATGGAGGGCGATCTCGGGTCAGAGGCATAGCAACCGGAGCAAGACGCTGCCTTCATTCCTCTCCCTTCTTCCTCATCACGCCCGTCCAATGTTGATGGATAGCCTATCATCCTCCCTCCTCTTTCATCCTTCTTAGGCTTCCCCCTCCTCTCCTTTATGTCCTCTTTCCTCATCCTACCTGCAGATCGATGGTCTGTGCCACGCGCCCGATCTGCGAAGCGCCCCAGGAGCAGGTCTGGAGCTCGTGCAGCTTGAAGAAGAGCTCAGACTGGAAGGAGGGGAGGAGGGCGGGAAGGAAAGAGTCCTTCGTAGTCATTCTCCTTTTTTCTAACGCACTTCTCTCTATGACACGTGTGTGACCGTTTCCGCCGCGATGCACACTTGCCGACCTCCCCCCCTTCCCGCCCTCCCTTTCCTACTCCCCCTTAAATCCCACCTTTGTGGGATCGGCGTAGGCGCGCTCAATAGCCTGGAAGAAGGGGGACGAACGGAAGAGCTGCTTGGTCGAGTACACCTGTTTTTCCACGGGAGGGAGCAGTGATCTTCTCATTATCTAAACCCTCTCCCTCTGTCGCGGTCACGGGCCGCCCTCTTCTCCACGCCCCCCTTAGGCTTTTCGAGGCCTTCTCACTCCCGTCTTGCTTCACATCCAGCAGACGTATGTATACAGACAATCGAGACGGAGGGCGCCCGACTCGCCAATTTCCTCGAAAGGCGGCCTCATCGTGTCCATCGCGCCTCCCTCATCTCATTTGGATGTGGCACAAGTGGAGATAAGAAAGGAAACCCATCTGATACCCTTATATCCCCCCCTCATGACACAGAAACACTGGCACGGTCCTCGCTCTCCCGCTCCATCTCCCTTCCACTCACCAGCTCCCACTCTCCCTCCAAGAGCACCGGGCTCATCGCTTGCTTCCTCTCACGTCCCTTAGCAATCAACAGCTCTAGTAGGGACACCATTGTCTCTCTTTCAGCTGAAATGAAGAAAAGTTGAAGAAATGTGAGTTGCGTGAAAAGTGAGAGATTCGCGTCAAAAAGGAAAGATCGCGAACTTGGGAAGTCGCACTCACCAGCGTAGAGACCTTCATCACTGACCAAGGGGTCTTGAAGCTTACCCCTGTCTGTAAGAGCCGCTAACTGACACACTTTTAATTTGATGGATGCAACTGAGAGGGAAGATCGCGTTGCAGTGCTGATCAGGGATAAATCAAGAGGAGGGTGGCAAAATAAGGAAAGGAAGTCACGTAATGAGATGAACCGACAGGCACGTTTCCACCTCCACTAATTGCACGCAAAAAGGCAGGAATCCTAAATGAAAGTAAAACGAAAAACTGAGTACACAGAGTTAATTTATGATACCTGAAGAGCCGGAGGTCTCGCGCTGTCGACCTCCCATTGTGTACCGTACTCGAAATAAAAAGGGACGAAGTCAGAGGATTGATGGGATGCTTATCTTGGTGATATAGATTAATACAGAAAAGGAGTGAGATGACGCCTATTTGTTGTTGTCTACACACGAAGAAAAAATGTTGCTCCTCAATCGTGACGATCAATGCCACATCAGTACCGTACCTATACCAAGCACCAACGACGACAGTCCAGGTGCTCCCAGCAACAACAGTTGTAGTAACGGAAATTTCAGCCGCATGCGTCCTTGACCCTGTCTTTGTGTGCGGCATGAACGCCACGCAGTGGGGAGCATCTTGCCATGGTATGCTCGCGTTCGCGCAATAATTTGAATCGGAGGAACTTTTGTAACGGTTTGGACGTTGTCGCAACGGTCGGACCCTGCAGGGTCCTCGTGGCTTGGTATGGGTCTTCTGCGCACGCATTCTACGTGGCCTTTCTATGCTTGGTGGAGTCATGCTTTTAAATATATGTACTCGTGGTCTGAGGGAGTGTGGTGGGAGTTGGACGCATTTCAAACATGAATGGCTTGTTCCTTACACTCGAAGGTCGATGGCGTCAAAGTGAGACAGGCCGAGAGAGGAGCATCCTCTGAAATGCAATCCTTTGGGATCGGAAGCAATTGTTTGAAAGCTTTCTTCTTCAAACTGACGATGAGGTTGCATTCTAGTCTTTAGCCATAGTAAACGACAACATGGATGTTTCAGAGATCGTAAAACTAGGGGTTGGGTATCTGGCCTTTCGAGTCGTCGGCCCATTTGTGGCCTTCTGCACGGAGGAGGAGCGTGTCCAACGGAACCAAAGAATAGCGTCCTTGAGCCCCAAGTACTACTCGTACATTTGAGGTACTATGCGTCCTCCTGCAGATTCCTCCTCTGCACATATCAATGCAATAACATGCTTACTCGACACTTGAGCTGAAATGGGGTCGTGTGTGCAAAGATGTCTGAAAGTGCATGTCTTCTCTGACGCTGGCCCCTTTGGTAGAGAGCCACTTTCTTACCTCATTGTGCATGAGTTTGATTGTCAGGAAGGTCTTATTAGGTCCAACAAGCCGTCAAGAGTTGCTCTTGCTTCTCCTGATACCATGGTCACGAAGTCTCTTTAGCCGTGAGCTATTCTTTGCACCTCTGACCCACCCGAACCCCCGTTTCTCCCTTTCCACACAGGCACTGCGTAAACACAAACATGCCGACTCTAGCCGTCAAACGTGGCGTTCTTGTCCACGTGCTTGCGGCTCTCGTACTGACAGCCCCTGCTTCGGAGGGTCAGCTTTTTGGTGGTCTGGGCGCCGCACGCGGCCGGACCAACAATAACAACAATAACGCCGCGGGTGATAACGGCGGTGGATTGTTTGGCTTTGGCGGAGGCGGGCTTATGAATGCCTTCACCACTAGGAGCCCTGATCCAACTAAGGCTCCGACGAACGCGCCCACCCTCGCTCCTACCAAGGCGCCCACCCTGGCCCCGACGCGGAAGCCGCTGATCAAGAAAGAAACCGCCCCCCCCACCAGCTACTGGGAAGGGGACGACGATGAGGACGATGACTTCACTTGGCCACCCACCCCTGTGAGCGAGACCGGCGAGAACGGGCCGGATCTGGAACTCACGGCGGACGATGACGCTGATTTCGACCCTCTGGCCGCCGATGATGACCTTGAGGACGATGACTTCGAGATTGACGAGGATGAGAAGGCTCTGGCCGCTGATGATGATATTGAGGACGATGACTTCGAGATTGACGAAGACGAGGAGGCTCTGGCCGCTGATGACGATGTCGAGGACGATGACTTCGAGATTGACGAAGACGAGGAGGTTTTGGCCGCTGATGACGATGTCGAGGACGATGACGTTGAAGTTGACGAGGAGGCGCTG